GTGGCATCAAGTTTTAGCAGTTTTAGGAGTTATATTTTGTCATTTTTAAACAATGGACTCAGCATGAGTGGAAGATGAGGCAGACGACCATGGAGAATGCTGTTTTTCACACAAGGCAAGCTGACGGCTCCATATAAGGTAAGAGAAATGCGTGTTTGTTTACCCTGCGGAGCGGGCTTGGTCTGTTTACATTCACACTGCACTCGAACTGCGCTGGAGTTCGTTTCTACCGGACCGAGACCTAGGTTTTAGCCCGGGCCAGAGTTCGCCTTTTTGTTCCGTGACAGAGTTCGATGGTGCGTTCACACCTCCCTAAACGAACCGGACTTTCAAGGAAAACGAGCTAGAGTTCGATTAAAGCGGACTAAACAGGGCTAGTGTGAATGCACCCTTAAATTACACAACTGTTAAATTGGAAACATTTTCATCACGTCAAGCCTTAATAAACTGAAGTGGCAAAGCAATCTTCATAAGTCCAAAGTCAAGACCAAGGATAACCATATAGTTGGTTACAAATATATTCTTTGTGATTTAAATAGGTGAATTTTATAACTGATGATATGACAGACATCTTCTCCCGCGCCCAGAAAATCACTTCTCATTTTCTTTGAGTGACCAGTGTTCCCAGATAAAGTCGAGGTTTTCCAGCACAAAAATATGTTAAAAACCACCACATTTATGGGGAGTGGTGGCGCAGAGGTTAGAGAGGTGGGCCTATGATCTGAAGATCGCCGGTTCACGCCCTGGCCTAGACAACATCAAAATTGTGGGTGGGGTAGGTGAAACACTCACACTTGCCCCCACCCTCATTCGCCCCACCCTGGGCCCATGAGCAAGGCTTTTAACCCCCACCATATGCTCCCTAAAACAGGTCTCTCTTGAAAATGAGTTCTCGTGGCTCAATGAGACTACCTGTATAAATAAAGGCTAAATGAAAAAAAATAAAAATTAAAATACATCAGACAAAAGTCTGCCCAGTCAACATATTGTTACAGTATATTTACTGTTTGAATATGAACACACATCAATACAAGCCAAGGTAATTTAACAATATGCGGCAAAATGCAACAATCCAACAAAAAATCTTCCCAGAGTTCCCAGCAAAATCAGAATGAAAACCGCCCAATTGGCAGTAAACCGCCCAATCTGGCCACACTGGGAGTGATGAGTGCGAGTGAAAGAGGGTGGGCATGACAGCAGTAACAAAAAATGTATTTAGCAATGAGTCCCGTTATCGCTTGGATTCGAACCAGTACATTTTGCATCCAGTAAAAACAAAGAGGTTAACAAATAAACTGGACAATATTCTGGCAATTTAGTGGTATTTACACAGTTGTGGTCTTGACTGATCTTGAAATAAAATCCAGAGTCCTCGATGTCCGAGACCGAGACAAGACCAAGACCAAATGCGGTCGAATCCGAGACAAGACCGAGACCATCAAAAAGTTGTCTTGAGATCAGTCTTAAGACCAAGACCAGTCTCAAGTTCTACAACACTAGACTGAGCACACATCTCTGAGGTGCCCCTGTGATCAATGAGATGGAGCTTTGTGTGACAAAGTGTAGTTTGTTGATAGGAAATCCAAAATCCAGTTACATAGTGGGGTTTTTAATAAAGAGGTTCGTTATGAGCTGTTGTTGAAGGATAGGATAGCGTATTAATGGCAGAAACATTGATGAACAGAATCCTGGCATAGAAGTTTAATTTTTCTCTAGATGGGTTAAGATAGCATGCAAGACGTGTGGGTATCCTTTCTATTATCTAATTAATACAGTGGTTCTCTAAGGAATATTTTTAGTTTTTGATATATCTTAAGTACTATACAGTATATGCATGACTAAAAAAACAAACAGAAAGACTATAGCTCTGAGTAATTGTCACAAAACTGTAGGTTTTTACCTTCACAGTTGGCATGTGACCAACTGCGGTCTGGAAACAGGGGTGGGATGGATAGCCTGGAAGGAGTCCTGGAATTTCGTCCTGATCCAAGACTAGAGTCTGAAGTTGAAGATCCTCCAGGCAAAGCAGGGAAAAGTGGTAGAACCCCAAGGGCTTTGCCTATGAGCCTTGGTCCCATAGACAGCACACGCACCTTGACATCCCGATAACAATGATTGATCATATGCAAGTGAACGTTCACCTTGGTCTTGATCTGGATCAGACACTTCACCATGACTCAGCTCTATTAAAAACCAAAGGTTTGATCTTGATCTTGTCACAACTGTGCTGCTTTTTCTTTTAGTTTGTCTTGTCCTCAAAATGCCTGTAGTGGGCTAGGCCTACGTCGAAACTAAGTCTAAGGTCAAAACTCTTGACCTTTAGAACCTTGTGGGACAGAAGCTGTCATTTCATGTATTTGAATCCATAAATACAGGTTCACCCATCCTGAGACTTTCTTTCTTGAAGATTCAAGTGAAAAGAACACTCTCTTTTTATTATCATTACTATCTTACAAATGTTGATAATCAAAGTGTCTTAGTTCAAACCATTTTAGATGTTGCAGTGAACTAATCAATTTTATTAACTGAGTAATGATTTTTATTCTCATGTTAAAAGCTGTTGCAGAGTAATTATGCATTTTTCTGATTTCTGCTTTTGAATGAGCAAGTGTGTGCGTTTACAAGGTTACAGTCAAACGAAAAACAAGTTGTTATGTTAAAACTGTCATGTTTTAGAATCCTCTCAGACGTAAATAGAGATGTTTTGCACCTGTTTCCTGAAACACGCCAAAACAAAACCCTCTCGGTCTGTGAGAACATTTCTGAGCTGTCCCATAACAATTCTCGCTGTCTCTAACCTCTTACGTCACAAAACCCACCCCGTCTGGTCGTTTCTGACCAATGAAAAATCCCAAAAAGTGAACCGGGAAAGAGTCTTTAAAATGTCAGTACTTCCTGGTCTACACAGACTCACGGAGTTACGGAGTTGGAGAGTTGTCGGAGTTCTAAGAGTTCTGAGAGCGTAGAGTAGGTGAGAGTCTACTCAAGTTCTGCTGAGTTCTGATGGAGTGCTGTTGGAGTTCCTGACATGACAACAAAGCTCTTCCGAGTTCCATGGGATTATAACTTTCACTAGCCACTACTTCTGAAGTGCTACAGCCACCATCAGGAGACGCTGGACAGGTAGCGTTAACGGAATTCCATATCTGCTGATAAATCTTCAGAAAGGTAATGGATCAAGTTTCCTACCAAGCGTACCGAAGGAGAGCTGGGCTTCTGATGGAGAGTGTCGGTTCTGGTGAACATTCCTCCCTTCCCATTCAATCTTACTCCCTTTAACTTCTTTCATCTTTAACTTTCTATCAAGTAGAAATTCTCCCAGATATTTAGAAATGTCTGTGTAAAGTGCTTATTCACATCCGTGTGGGTAAAAGATCATAGTTGTACAGTTTTCATAAATGTCTTTGGTGCAGCAACGGAAAAATCATGGCCGTATGATTTTTCCTGATTGATTGCTTATATTGTTATTTTCATAATTTGCCAAATTAATGTAAATGTTTGATGTTAAATTTGATTCTGTAAATAAATGACCGCATTCATTTTGATGGGTCAAATTTAAATGACGTCTCACGTTTGCATTTCCTTAAATTCAATGCACGTTTTATTCAGTCCAGAAAAATGAGGAACCCGCGTTAAATGATGAATATATCCCAGCATCTGTTCATCTACATGCCTGTTCTGTCCAAATCCTCCTTTGTGTCTGGTTGTAACTCATCTCTGGCTGGGTGCTTTTATGCAACAGGCAAGCTGACAGGAGTGAACAAATGGGAGCAAGAGTGAAATACAAAGCCACGGAATGCCGTCCACTTGTTCTGCGGCTTCATTTCTTCCTCTCCTGTTGGCTGTGACACATGCAGCATGACCCCTGACAGCAGGAGCTATTTTCAGGCTGTGATATTATTGCCAGATGAAATACCAGGGCAGAAAGAGCAACAAAACAGAACACAGGGGCTTTGTTTTGCAGTTGCAATATAGGGGTAATACATCACACACCCCAAATACTCCATCTCAATGATAAAAGGAGGGCTAGTTTGACGAAAGACATTTAATTAATTGCAAATAGACTTTGCCAAAAGTTTATTAGTTGGATCAGACTGACCAGCTGGGAGTAAACAAACTCTCAGAGGAAGCATCTGCAAAAGGTTAATAGCCAGTTGGAGGGGAGGGGACGAACAGTAAATGCTCTTTATAAACTGGAAGGATGACTTCCTCATGACAAAGCCTGAGGGCAGCGTCTGATCAGCACTCTTCAGTGTGTCTTTCTGGACAGCATATTCAGTACACACCCAAGAGAGAAAAAGTGAGGTAAAATGTAAGCATGGAGAGAATGACACTGACAAGCAGAGAGATGTTGAAGTAGAGATGCACTAATGCCATTTGTACAAAATTATGTGATTGCATTAACATCCTCCATGTGTGTTGCAGTAGTGTAATCCAAAGCAAAATCAATTATGTAGAAGACTAATCACTAAACCAAGCACCGTAAGAGGTCAGAACAGGCGATGAAAAAGTTATGGTCCAATAGTTTGAAGTAAGTGCAACTCTGATATACTATATATAAGTAATGCAAGGTACAGTACATGCAAGTTAACTTGTTTTATTTTAGGGGTTCATGTTCAGTAACACCCATATCAGTGATGTATATTAGCAGCGCAATTGATCTTACCACATGCTGTATTCTCTATATTGTTACGCAAGCTGCAGCAGGGCTCAGGCTGTTTGGAGTCGACTGCATGAAACAGTAACTCAGGATAGCTCCGCTTTACTCAAATGAGAGCAAAGCAGCACTTTGGTTGGCTTTGTAGCTGTTTTAAGTGCTTTATAAATAAAGTGGTATGGTATGGTAAGTGCCACCTCGGCCACACCCCTGGCTCTGCCTCTGGTTTTACGAGTTTGTTTTTTGTGTGCATGTTTTACCTTCCATTATGGAGATGTGCACAGCTCTCCGCCGGGTTCTGGGCACACTGGTCAGACGAGGGCCGTGCGTGATTGATGGACAACTTCTACTGGGAACCATGCCAGCCCTGGGACCAAACAACAAAAACACATGAACATACGAACTTATGTTCTCAATTATGAATCTCAAGATGGCACACATTGTAAAATTTATGACCTATGGATCTCAGGAGGATCTCGCTTAATTTTGGCACTTTGTTCCATCACCTCTTTTGCAACTTTTCCACTAGGAAAACAGAGAAGTGGAAAATGTGATAATCTGAGTTTAATACAACAAAGCCAAGGCTCAGCAGTTTCACAAGTACTTTTTATAAAACTGTTACTTTTTTGTGAGTGAAACATTTGGAACATTGCATGCTTTTCATACCTGTATCTAAATCGACTACCCTTAAAGAAGAGATTACTACTGGACACAGTGCGGACTTGACTTGATTTCTCCAACCTGTGAGTGAACAGAGGTGAATCACAATCATCAACCTACATGACATAAATATGTTGGTAGAATATTTTTACATGTGTTGACTTACTTATAGAAGGCCTGGTTCTCTACTCCACACTTCCACAGATGCTTACAGGCCTCTGGTGTCGGTGCGAAGTAAGTTAGAATAATCTTCCTGTCCTGCAACAGGTCCAAGTGTTTCATTTTTGAAGCCACATATTAATCAATGTCACAGCTTGAAAAAATACTAAACAGTACAATAAATTTATGAGCAAAATATGACATTGTACTTGGAAATATACAATAATGCTTTTGAAAAATAAATTCACAGCAACTTTTCCTTGCTCACTTGTCGAATATAAAACAAAGTCCAGTGTTTCACAAAAAAAATAAAATAAAATTATCTTCCAAAGCTCCATAGATCAACATAACTTTAACAACTATTATATTTACCTCAGTCTGATTTGCATATATATGAAATGTCTTTGCTTCAAATTTGAGTTTGGTTACCTCCTCCCTGAAAACAGAAAGGGACAAATGAGCCTAAAACTGGTGAGCAAAAGACTGAGAAAAGGCAAGAGATTAAATTAGAAAAGAAATGAAAGAGAAAAACGAACAAATGTGAGTAAGTATTAATCAATAATACAAGCAACGTTTTCTTAAAGCCATTTAGATTTTAATTCAAGTGGCTAAAAAAAGGTTTTAATCAACTCCAAAAAACTCGGATGCTGTGGAAACTTCAGACATGCTGCTCGGCTCAACCGGATGTGTGGGTCTCTGGCTCCTCGTTGAACTTTCCCACATCAGTGATCAATCACTGGTTGTACATGAACGTGTTGAACAGTGGAAGAAGTTTACACTGAAATCTGAAGGGAGCCTTTGGTTTTTAAGACATTTGTTCTCACCATGTGAGGAAATGGATTCTCCTGTTTCCTTGCAGCACAGTGAATCCAAACGGAGTGAAGGCCAGGAAAGCTGGATTCCCCGAAACATCCTGCAAATATAAGAAGCCGAACGAGCAAGCATATCAATCTCTAAAATTGTCTTACCCTAATAAAGCACACCATAACAGAACAATTTCCCTTGTTTAAATTAGCTTCATAGAGATCACCTTGCATGGATGAGGGTCCACTCCGTACGTCTCCAGTGTCTGGGCTTTTTGAAGGAAGTTGAGCTCTGATGTTTCAGGGCTTTGACCTCTGCCAAAAACAACAATACAATAAAACTCTACGTCTTATTTATGTGCCTGTTTGTGTAATATTTGTAAATAATATCCAAATTCAACACTAGGAAGGTTTGGATAATCCAGAGCAAATGTTTGCTACACCTGTGCAGTCTGAATCAGGAAATCTTTTATCTCCAACTACAGACTTTTTCCCTTTGCTTACACTTAAAATGTATTTTATTGTGTTAAAAAGCTGGAAATGAGCAATAGAGGGCAGTGTAGGATTAAATCTGCACCATGTGCCATGTCCTGTATTTGCTGAAGAGCAAAAATAATGCTGCACAATAGAGATAAATTCTTATTTTTCATATAACAATGTGCAAGGGTTAAACATTTGATCTCTAAACTTTTGCTGATGCCAGAAAAATAGATGGACTTTTTTTCCGCACTTCTAGAGAAATAAGTTTCCCAACAGATGTGATTGCCTTCACAGATCCCAGAACTTACGTTCTTGCATTATATGAAAAGACAGAAGACATTTACAGATGGTTTTCTGCACTGAGCTTTAGGACTTTCATGGGACTGGTGATCATTTGAGTCATATTAATGCAGAACTATACACATTTAAAAGGTTTTCAAACCTTCAAGCTGCACTTTATGTTTCCTTTTTGCTGCACGTGTAATGGGAGTAAACAGGTTTTTAAGTTGCTTCACTGTCATTAACCAAAAGTTGCTATCTCTAAAGACTAAGCATCTAAAGCAGCAGTCTTACACTGTGCTGGGTTCTGGACAGGTGTCACCTTACATCAGCTCAGTCTTGTGGATCTCTGCAATCCACCGTTCCAGTTTTTCAGAGTGTTTGGGGAAGAACTGGAACTTGGAGCTGTAGCCTTCAGGATGTTTCCCTGGGTCGTAGTCACCAATTTCAGCTGCAAGGACCAACAATGAGAATCAGTAAATTAATAAAGATAATGAGGATAACTTTTTCTGATTTGAGACTATTAAACTTACACCCCCACCCCTCCAAAAAGTAAATGTAAATACTGTAAGTTCCGGATGATAAGCCACTACTTTTTTCATGCGCTTTGAACACAGCGGCAATGCTGTGCTCCCTTTCCCATCCCTGCGGGAGTGTCTCCCCTCGTTGTATACAACAAAGTATTTGCAGGCACTCAAAATAAGCGAGTCATAAATCAAATCAAATTGCAAATTTGCCTCGAGACAAAAGTGACGTTGAGAGTGACAATGAAAGAAAGGCTGAGGAAGTGTGCTGGTCAAAGCAGATGGCCGCTTGTCCTGAGCCTGGTTCTGCTAAAGGTTTCTTTCTCATGAGGGAGTTTTTCCTTTCCACTGTCGCCTTCATGCTTGCTCAAAACGAGGGTTCTGCAATGGAGTTAAACTCAAAACAGTCTGCTCCTCAGATTAATAATGTTAAATTATTATTTTTATATATGAATGTTTCTGTTCAGTGGACTGAGATGACTTCTGTTGTGACTCGGTGCTATATAAATAAACTGAACTGAATTGTGATGAGGTTTTTCTGAGGTTGTTTAATTCTGACACTGAAGAAGACGACTTTAGTGGTTTTAGTGCATAGGAGGAAGATGAACACAGCGATCAGCCACTTTTCCTGTTAGGGTACAGTATTTAATTATTTATTTTTTAACCAGCCGTGTTACAGGAACTTTTCAGAAAAAAAAAACCATTTACTGTATGTATTTAATTAAAAGTTTAAAAATCTTTCAGTGTCAATATCTCATGTTACAACGTGGACACCTGTGGCTTTTAGACAAGCGCAGTCTTTATATGTACAAAAATAATAATAAATTTACTGTGCGCGGCTTATATGCAGGGGTGCTCTGTAGTCTGGAAATTACAGTTATTAACAGTGAATATATTTGACAAAATTATTTACAAACTAAGTATGAAAATGAAGATTACATGAAGTTATTTTAAACACAAGCAGTTATACTTTTATACTAAATGCAGATAAACAACTTATTTCATTTTTTTCTCACTACATTTTTTTATTTACGTTTGTAATAATGTGCAGAGAAGTAAAATATTATCTGATTGTGCAATCAAAAAAAACGTTGTTGAAGTAAAACCCCAAATGAAACAGTGTATTTGGATTTTTATGCATCATTTATAACTCGTGCCAGGGACGTTTTTTTTCCTCCAACAGGCATATTCTGATGGTGAAGAAGTGAAATACTGCTGCTGTACAGAAAGTCCACACATGCTCGATATGAAAATTATTTAACAAATACTTCATATTACAATAAAAATAACACATTTTATGTTTTCCTTAAATCACTGTACTGAGGACATGCCTCACTTTAATGGATCAATTAGTGTTTTATGATCATAGATTAAAATAAAGATGATAAACAAAGAAGAAGAACCACAACAGAAACTGTTGTAGTGGATATCAGTTCTTCTTGTCCATGAGCCAACACCTGAAGAAGCCAAAAAAGAGAGGCTTTTTTGTGTAAAACTGTAGAATTATGCAGAGTATTTAAGTTTAAAGCTTGTTTGACAAGTATTTATGTCAGAGTTTAATAAAGAAAACTTTTGTAAGCCATTTTCCTCAGCCCATCCTCAGTGAGACATGCTCCTATAAATAAAACATAGAATACTGGAAGTTTTCTGTGATATTCCAGCAAGATCAATGCTTAAAATTAAAAGTATAAAGTTGTATAGTAGTTTTGTGTAGTTTTATGACAATCCATCTGTTCCACCTTGTAAAATGTAGGCAGCCAGCAGAGCTGCATCTGACGTCTTGCACAGAAGGCGACCGTGATAAAGATCCCTCTTGACCTGCAGGAAGACGAGATATCTGGAGGAGGGGAAAAATAGAAGAAACTTATTGAGTTCATCACTTGTACAAGATCTATTGCTAACACACATTTGATGCAGTTTAACAATAAGGTTCTGACTGTTTGGAGGAGAAATAATGAGAAGGCCTGCGGATAACTTAAGAACTGTTAAAAGAGTGTTTGTTACACAATACGCTTCTACACTATCGTTGGCTGGGTTGCAACAATTCACTTTTTTTTGTCCCTTCAAAGCATATTAATAAAAACAGAAACTACACTTTACACAAAGCATGCACTTATGACCAAATGTCTTGTTCAATTGCATTTAGTATATTAAACCTAGAATTTACATTTTAACACAAAACAGGACTTAAATTAAATATTCAGTTCAGTTTATAACTAATTATTGTTTCATCACTAACATCCAAATATGTTTTTTTTTATACAGCACAGTTTTTTTTATCTTGACAAGGATTCATGTTTTACACCTCTCTGCACCAAAGCAATAAATACCTCTGCAGAACAAAATGCTGCTGTAAAGCATGTCAGAGCAGAGTCCATGTGGATTTAAGGCATCTTTACAATAAAACACATCAAATGACATTAGTTTATTGCATGTTGGCTTTTTTTTTATGTGCATCTGAGTGTAAAGCAGCGTACGGTGTGTCAGATGCTCTTCCTTCACTGAACAAAGACAGCTGTGAAATTTAAGGTGGTAATTCTCCACTGCATGCTTGTGTGTCATTGAAAGCCTCCAGAACAGATGGGTGGAGGGTGGAGCAGCTCTTCCTCGCCAGCACTGCTGCTCCATCAAGAAGAGCTCAACTGCGAAGGATTTCATCGCGTGGCAACCAGTGGAGGGATGTGCTTTACGGGGATCTTTGTGCTCGAGGCTTTCCGTCTCCCTCCTCGCAGCAGTTTGTTCAGCTGTCGGCGGTGCCACACACAGCAGTGAGCAATAAGAAGCTGCATGATGCCACAGAGGAAAAAAACTTGCATTGTCCCCCATACAGGCTCCTTCTGTTCGACACTTTTCTAAAGTATGAGGCAAAGTTAGAGATATTCTTTAAAGTACTGTGATGCGCTTGATAAGACTCATCAGAGGAGGACTTTAGGGACAGGTGTGTGCAGTCAGTAGAGGAGCAGCACACGTAAGAAAGGTCTCTCTAACAAACTGAGGAGAACTTCCTGTGGTTGTGGCAAATGCAAGTTTTTAACGTCCAATGCCATCTCAGTGTGCTGAAACGAGGAGTGATTGTACCCCATGACTCCAAACTGGAGTGGACTGTTCTGTCCTGTTTCAGCCAGAAAAAAGTATGATCATGTTTCTACATTAGCAGCAAGCTAATTAAAGTTCTGTTGCATGGAATACAGCAAACAGTTTTTATAGCATAATACAAAAGTGCATTTAAAGCTTTGTAAAAAAAAACAAGTTTAAGGCATAGTTGATACACACAAAAATGCATGCTTTGTTTCATTGCCACCAAATCTGCTTTAAACAATGTTAAATATATGTTTTTGTTATTTACATATAAGATTATCTTTCTCTGGATGCTGGTCAAACTGCTTTTCTCTCTGTAACCTAAAGACAACTATTAGGATCTGTTTATAAAAGTATTTTCCTAAACTTTTAGTTTGAGCATTACATTTCATATACATTTTACCCAAGTTTAGATTAAATGCATCCCTGCAGCTGCTGAAATGTAACATATTTTTATCTTTCAGAGGTGGTGGACTGGGATTATGTGTGAAACACTGTTATAAACACATCCTATTTAGTTCTTGAGCTGAATAATGTCTTCAGTGTAATTACTGACAAACTGATGATGAAATGTGCTCCAAGTATAAGCCGGGTTTAAATGAGCTTGAGAAGCAGAACACCTGATTGTATGAATATGAGTCCTCAGAGCATTTACTGTTATTGCTTTAATTTGTCTTACAAGGTGAGTAAACATGACCGCACTGTATACATTCTGTGGTTTTTCTTTTTCTTTTTCTGTTTAGTGTGTATTTCTGGCCAATTATATACCTACATCTACCAGTCTATGTCTAACATTCCTCTCAAAAATTATTGAGAAAATAATTGCAAATCAGTTGTGTGAACATCTGGACAGAAATAACCTGATATTTTCATGACCTCAGACAATGGACTTGTGTCTATAGGTCCTGTTGGACCTCAGTGCTGCATCTGATACAGTTGATCATAATATTCTATTACAGAGACTTGAAAATGATATTGAGATTACAGGAACAGCTCTAAAATGATTTAAATCATATTTATCTGTTAGATTCTAGTTTGTAAATGTAAATAATGAATCTTCTTTATACACCACAGTTAGCCATGGAGTTTCTCAGGCTTCAGTGCTTGGACCACTGCTGTTTACTTTATATATATCTTTGTACATTTGAGCTGGTGCGTTTGCATTCACACTGCACTGTGCAGTCGAGTCAACCTGTTGAACCAACCTATTCCCCCGCTCGCCAATGGGGGCGCTGCACCAAGAACTACTGAAAGAAACGACACAAAAACCTCTGAAGAAGACACTTCTTCTTCTGGAAATAAAACAAAAATGGAGTGGCGGTTTTAGGAGTTCTATTTTGTCTTTTTTAAACAATGGACTCAGCATGAGTGGAAGATGAGGCAGAAGACCATGGAGAATGTTGTTTTTCACACAAGGCAAGCTGACAGCTCTATATGAGGTAAGAGAAATGCATGTTTGTTTGCCCTGCGCTGTACTCCACTTCCTGCTTGTAGAGCGGTGTCCGGTCTGTTTGCGTTCACACTGTACTCGAACCGCACTAGAATTTTCTTCTACCGGACCGAGACCTAGGATTTTAGGCGGGCCAGAGTTCGCCTTTTTGTTCTGTGACAGAGTTTGATGGCACGTTCACACCTCCCCAAACAAACCGGACTTCCTAGGCAAATGGGCTAGAGTTCAGGACAACAGGGCTGGTGTGAATGCACCCTTATTCATGATGCTATAGGCTTAGACTACTGAAGGATAAACTGACTACATTTCCTCACTCTGCTGCCGTCTTTACTTGCTCTACTCTACCTGTTTGTATTTGTAATTATTTCTATTTTAACATGTGTTTTTTTTTATTTTCCTCCAATAGAAAGTACACCTGGACCTGTCATTCTGTGTTTGTCTGTTTCTCCTTCCTGTCTTCTCAAACCCGGCTGGTTGAAGCAGATGGTCATTCGTTCTGAGCCTGGATCTATTGAAGGTTTCTTCCTGTTAAAAGGGAGTTTTTCCTTTCCTCTGTTACCTTTGTGCTTGCTCAGGATGGGAGACTGTGACGAAGTGAAGATCCAATGCAATCTGCTGGTTTCTTAGAAAGATAACTTTTACGAATAGGTTTTTATAATGTTTATGAATGTTTCTGTTCAGTGTCGAGACAACTTCAGTTGTGACTTGGCGCTATATAAATAAACTGAATTGAATTGAATATGGTCAAATATGATCTCAAAATGAACATTTGTTTGAAGCTGACTTGTGCACGAACATCACACTCCTCTACCTGCAGCCCACTAAGCCATTTAAAATCCTACCTGGTGATTTCCTCCTTCAGAGCAGCAGGATCTGGTGGATAAAACTTGACACGCAGACACATGGTGAATGGAGGCTGGGCTGAGAGACGAGGACAAAAAGAACATTGCATCCTGAATTCCCAGAGGAGGGAAAGAGTGTGTGTGCGCGACATTATTTATGTGTTGTGTACTGTTTAATCAGGTTTGATTATCCTTAACAAATGAAAGCTTTTTTACACAAAAACAAACAACCAAAAAAAGAACAGTGAACTCAAACGCATGAGGCAAGGTAAACACTTACACTTCATTTGTTTGGCAATTGGTTTGGAAAACTCCAACCAGTGCTGCAAAAGAAAGAACGAGAAGTAAAGGACAGGTCAGCTTTTTAAACACAGATTCTTCAGCTTCTATAAATGATCATTTATTGAACCGTTCAGCAGCTGAAGTTGATTTATGGGCACAGTAGAATCACACCCAAGAGTTTCTGGTTTGAGCTATATCATGTTTTAGGAGTAAACACAGTATCAAAGCAGACATGGACAGTGGTGGCTAATTGGTTAGAGCAGTCGTCCTCCAATGCAAGAGTTGTGGGGTTCAAATCCACCAGCAGTCACATGCCAAAGTGTCCCTGGGCAAGACACTGAACCCCTCATTACCTCCGATGTGTGTCCCATCGGTGTATGAATGTGATAAAGCACTGATTAGTCTCTTTAGAATGATTTGTTGAATTAGCTTTGTAGAGTTAGTGCTGTATGAATGGGTAAATGAGGGCATAGATTGTAGTGTAAAGCACTTTGAGTATCTTGATAAGATAGAAAGAAGTTATACAAGTACAGTCCATGTACCATTTAGACATACTGTAATTTTTCTTTAAACCTACAGTTTAAATTGTCTTTTTTTTAAATGCCAGTCAGTGCAAGGATTTCATTGGTGGTTTGGAGTGTAGTAAAACACTTCCCGCCCCCCTTTGATTTACATGGGCTGCCAGTCAGATGTGTGTATAATGAGAACCCCATCCAAACCTACTTCTTCCTCCATAAAAGAGTTGAAATGACTTGTTGAAAAAGTTCCTATAAGGAAGAAACGGGGAATGTCATGGCAAGCCTACCAGAATAGCTCCACCTTTATCTTTTTTAAAAGTAATTAAACATTTGCAACAAGCTTCCATGTCTTTTGGTGAGATAAACTAGATACTTCCACCTTGTTAGTGTACAAAGTTTCCTTTATCACGGGCGGCTCAAACTGTAAATTTAAAAATCTTCAAAGACTTGTACATTTCACAGTGTTCAAGCTACAAGTAGATATTAGTAACCAGTGGCACACGATACGATGTCAGATAGTACGATTAGTTAAATTTCCATATGTCACAACGATCTGACAGATGTTAGTCTAACAAAGTATGAAATTAGGTGCTGAAGCACTTTTTAGTAGATTCAAACTCTAAACATGGAGGATGAGGAAGAAGAGGCAGCTGTGGACACACTCATCACTGGGATAGAGATGGTTACAGCAGCAGACATCACAACTTTTATTGAAAATTTATCCACATTTCTGCTTGAAATGTGTAGTAAATGGTCTTTATTTGTCCGTCCGTCCGTCCGTCCGTCCGTCCGTCCATCCATCCATCCATCCATCCATCCATCCATCCATCCATCCATCCATCCATCCATCCATCCATCCATCAGGTCGTGGGGGCAGCAGCTTAACCAGGAAGGCCTCTTCCAGCACTTCTGGATGGACTCCAAGGTGCTCCTAGACTAGCCAAGAGACATAGTCTCTCCATTGTGCACTGGGTCTTTCCTGGGGTCTCCTGCCAGATGGACATGCCTGTAAAACCTCCCTAGGGAGGCATCCAGAGTGCATCCTTACCAGAAGCCCGAACCACCACAACTGGCTCCTCTCAATGTGGAGGAGCAGTGGCTCTACTCCGAGTCTCTCTAGGATAACTGAACTTCTCACACTATTTCTAAGGCAGAGTCCAGCCACCCTGCTTTTGATTGTCTATATCCATAATGTAATTTTCTAAGTCACTACCTAGAATTCATGACCGTCGGTGAGGATAGGAATGTAGACCAACCATTAAGCAGAGAGTTTTGCCCTACTGCTCAGCTCCCTCGTCATCACATGGACCGGCACAAAGTCCACACTGCTGTGGAAGCCGCACCAATCAGTCTGTCAATCTCACGCTCCATTCTTCCCTCACTCGTGAACAAAACCCTGAGATACTTGAACTCCTCCACTTGAAGCAGAACCTCACTCCCAACCCAGAGAGAGCAATCCACGCTTTTCCGATTGAGGACCATGGCCTCAGATTTGGAGGTGCTGATTCTCATCCCAGCGGCTGCACACTCGGCTGCGAACCACTGCAGTGAGAGCTGAAGATCACGGCATGGTGTTGCCAACAGGACCAAATCATCTGCAAATAGCAGAGATGGAATTCTGAGGCCACTGAACCAGACTACCTCTGGCCCCTGGCTGCACTGAAAAGGCTTTGTTTGTGAGAAAGTTTAATCAGCTGTTAAACAAGATAAAAATTTGTCTTAAGATGTAAAAGTTCATAAACTACATAACGTGAACCGGCATAAAGTGGGAAAAAAGCAGATATGGGAACATTTTAAAATGAGATCCAACTAGAATTAATTGTATAATAGTCTTTAGGTGTTCCATTTCTGTGTCCATGTATTAAGAAAAAATAAGAACATCTCTGATGTTTTTGCTGAACATGCCAATTTAAACTTCCCTAACTGTGTTCTTTGTCTTTTCATGTGTACCATTACCATCAAAATAAATATAAATAAGCAAACAATAAACCAAATCAGCTCCAACATAAGAACATTTTTTATTTCATTATACGAATAATAAAACGTGTAGTTTTTTTTTCAAGGTTATAATACAATCAGATTTTCAAACCAGCTTTATTTAGACTTCCTGCAACACAAAGAGTTGTGATGCAAATAAATAATTTTAGAATAAAACACGAATTTATCAGCTGTTCAGTGCTGAACATAATTTACTAATCAGCATGATAATGACACAGTTAATAATAGAGGGCAGAGTAACTGTAAACTGAAACACTAACGCTGCCTTTGTTAACACTGATTGTTTTTCTTGGTCTCAGAGCCTTTCTACAGGCTGACGTCCTAATCATGCAAAGAGAGCTGTGAGACTGCAGGAGGGTAACATTTAAAAGCTTTTCACAGCATTTGTTATCCTATTCAGAGTTCAAGAGTGCAAGATTAACAAATAATCATAAGTCTTGCAAATTTACACAGGACTGTGTTAATTCCCTGATGTTTCTACCAAATCAATGAGTTTTTTCAGCTTCTATAATTAACTTGCTGATTTGCCCACCTGCAGTGAAGGTTTGCATGCATGGAAGAAAATAAACATTGTTAAATTAGTATGTATTAAAAGTTGCTGTACACCAAGCAGCTTTTGAGAAAGTGTGTTTGAAACTGGATAATCCATCCATCCATCCATCCATCCATCCATCCATCCATCCATCCACCCATCCATCTATTTAGTCCATCACAGGGCCACATAGAGACAAACGAGACAAACAACCATTCACTCTGTCACTCTCACCTAGAGACAATTTAGAGTTACCAATCAGCCTAACATGCATGTTTTTGGGCTGTGGGAGGAAACCAGAGTACCTGGAGAAAACCCACATGCATGGAGAGAACATGCAAACTTCACCAATAAATGTCCCTAGCTGGGATTTGACCTGGCGACCTTCTTGCTGAGAGGCAACAGCTCTGCGCCACCATGTCGCCAACTGGATAATTTAGACTTTAAAACCTGTTGGGAAAATGTACACAGCTAATGCAGATCAGATTTTCTTGGACTACTGTACTCTCATTTATTTGTCGAGTAGCTATTAAAAATAAAAGTGTAATTATTATATATGAATTCAGTCTATACTAATACAATTTTTAAGTGTATAAGAATATTCAGGTTGGAAAGCTTTACTACAGTCGAGTCTAACAGTTGTTTTATTCTACATTTCATAATAAATAATAGTAAAGTAAAATTTGAATAAAACATCTTCAGATGTTTCTTTGATACTTATTTTTTTTTTGTCATTTCAGTTATAGTCAGAAAATGTATTTTGGAGAGGTAAAATGGGACAGAAGAAGTCAGATGGCTAAACTTGTGAAGTAATGAGGAAAATGAACACTTACTCTTTGCTTGTCTGGATCAACATATCTGATGCCAAAGTAGTCTTTCTCCAGCAGGTTGAGGTGGTGACAGATGAGGTCAAACAGGTACTGTCCCTTGGCATCTCGCTGGAAGAGACATGAGACAAATGTCTTACAATAACCTCTCAGCCTCTGTCTCACCCGTTTGTAATTTTGCGCCATCACAGATGTCAACTCCCAGCGACTCAGTGAAACAAACTGTAAATGAAAACACCCAAATAAAACATCTAAGCTTCATGTTAGGCACCAAACAATACGAAACACTGAAAAATAAAAATAGTATTCCAAAAATGTATAGATATTTCTATACAATTGCTTCCTTCCTTAGATAGATAACTTTACTAATAGTGTGAATGCAGCACTATTGTGATCCTGTGTAATCAACTTTTCTCAGATAATTTCAATTTTATTGTGCTAATTCCAGCTTCTTTCAACATTAGTGGGCACAACTAACCTCACTTCACTTCCTTTTGGAAATTTAAGCTTCTTTATGCATTACTTTAGCTACTATTCAGCTGTTTTTTTTTAATAGCAAATGTCAGCTTTTCTCAGATAATTTCAACTTTATTGTGCTTATTTATGTGTCTTTCAGCAGGCACAAGCTCCCTGCACATACTTTTGGAATTTTAAGCTTCTTTCTAAATTTATTTAACTAATATTCAGCTGTTTTATAGGAAAAACTAGGATAACTCTGCCATTTTTAGAGCTATTCAGCTGAAACTTGGCGTATCGGTAGCTGACAACAATCACTAATAGACTCTGACTGAAAATCAAAAATACAAGATGGCCGTCTTAGCAAAACAAAGGGACATACTATAAATCAGCCAATTTTACTCATATTGAGCTGAATGATTGTGTGATGATAGCTCACGTTTCCCATCAAATCAGAGTCAGAGTCAGAGTCAGAGTTTCTTTATTGTCATTCGCACCTCATGTGGTACATGTGGTGGAGCGAAATTATGTCCCAGTTACATCCAACAATAAAATGTATAAGAAAAACAATAATAACATCAGAGATATGAACTAAGAAAAACATCAACTAAATATACACTAAGCACTCATAACATAAAAACATTGAACATCAGCACAAACATGAACATGAGTCTGTGTGAGCAGATGTGCACGCACAAACACATCAACATTGAAACAGATCAGCAGCAACATGAAACAGATCAGCAGCAACATGATATGGTTTTTCACAGTGATTATTCTAGTTAGAGATTAATGAGTCTAACAGCCTCAGGGTAGAAGCTGTTCCTCAGTCTAGTGGTTCTACACTTAATGCTCCTTAACCTCCTTCCTGAGGGGAGTGGGGCAAAAAGTGTGTGTGCTGGGTGAGTGGGGTCCTTCATGATGCAGGTGGCCCTCTTCCTGCATCTGGAGGTGTAGATGTCTGTGATGGTGGGGAGGCTGATTCCAACAGATTTCTGTGCAGCCTTCACCACTCTCTGCAAAGCTTTTCTTTCTGCAGCTGTGCAGCCTCCATGCCACACATTGATGCTCGAGCACAGGATGCTCTCCACTGCACACCTGTAGAAGGAGGTGAGGACTGAGCTTCCCAGACCAGCTCGCCTCAGCCGTCTGAGGAATTAGAGTCTCTGATGAGCTTTCTTGATCAGGCTGGTGGTGTTGTTGCTCCAGCTGAGGTTGCTAAATGGTTACAAAATGGTTACAAAAAAGGTTACAAAATGCTGAATGAAATCTAAAAATCCAAGACAGCTGCCAATGCTACTTTTGAATGGATTTAATTCAGCCATTTTTACACATACAGAGCTGAAATTTGGTGAGATTATAGCTGAGAACGTTCCCTATCACATACTGCATTTAAATCAAGACTCCAAGATGGCCGCCTTATCTAAAAAGGAAAAAATATGATAACTAAGGCATTTTTAGAGCTATTCAGCTGAAATTTGGTATAGTGGTAGCTGAGAGCAAACCCAAACACATAGTACTGTCAGATGAAGCGTTTATATCGGCAGCAGCCTGGCAGTTCATTACATTAGGAACAATTGTGCACATTCTGCTTCCTTCTGACATTTGAATTTTCTTTCTGCCACTTTAAGCTACTTTCCCACTATTTTCTTGACATTCGTAAGCAAGAGGCATTCACACTCGCATTTTCACAGGAAATGCAAATTCTCTATTTGGCTTTTATAATATATGCAAATGTTTTTGTTCAATGCCCTGAGATAAATTCTGTTGTGACTTGGTGCTAAATAAACTGAACTGAATTGAATATTGTCAAAGCAAATGTGTTTTTTATTTTATTTCATTGTTTCACTTTTTATGCAGAGATTGTCCAAAAAGTCCAAACAATCACCAGAAAGTGCTTTAATATTTCACTGTTCTCAAGAGAGATATCTAAGGCCTATCAAATATTCATATCAAGGCAGCATCCATCTGCAAAAGATTGAAAAATAAATTCTGCTGCAGTAAAAGGGCTGGAAACTCAAGAGGTGTGTGTAAAGAAAAGACAGTCAGGAAGGGAAAGGAAAGGAAGCATATGTCATGTTATGCAGATGTCCAACTTTTTGTTTAAGACACCTTAAATAAAAATGTTTGCGTTTGAAAAATTTTTAAGGTTTTAAAACGAGTTGCATTGCTCATTTACTTGAGGGGGAACCAGCACTTGAATACAGAACAAAATGCACATTTTCTTCAGGGAAGATGTATCATCACATTGCATGTCATGTTTTAAACCAACATGCTTCACAATGTTAGTATTCAAAGTATGTGTTGAAGATGACTATCACACTGAATTGCAGCTCAATGTTTAAAAAACGGACAGAGTTATAACCATTGTAGTGTTGATTGACGTTGTTTAGCTGTGGTGGCCATTTTGAATTGAGGCGATTCCACAAGTTAAACAGTTATGATGCTTAGCCAATAATTACTCGAGTTTAGCTAAAATCTGTCCAGTGGTTCATGAGATGTTTTGCTAACAGACAGACAGGATAAGGGATAATGAGCAAAATTAGAAGAGTGGTGCAGAACAGCACATATATAAAGAAATGCAATACAATATTTGTCTGTTGACAAATGGCATCAAGTTTATTTTGCCCGTCATCAGACAGAACAACCTAGAAGTTGTAAGATGATGTTTCTGCAAATATAAAAATTAAAAAGTTGTTTTGTCCGCTGGCAGAGCAAAGTTTATCTATAGTCATCTAAACCTGAGTTTAAGGTGTACAACTCAGATTTTATGTGTTATTTTTTTTAATGTAGGTGTGATAGGAAACACGTCCACTTAAAACTCTGAACACAGAATGTAAGGTAAGGAACACAAAGTTAACTTCTCAGCAAAACAGGAGACATTCTGTGCCTAGTAGTACCATCCATTTTCTTTACTCTCTTTTTCCTTTCCTGGTTTCTGGCCAGCTAGATGAGGCAGGGGAAACCCTGGACAGGTCTCCAGTCCATCACAGGACCATATAGAGACAAACAAGACAAACAGGCATTCACACTCTCTCACACACCTAGGGACAATTTAGAGTTGCCAGTTAGTCTAATGGGCATGCTTTAGGTCTGTGGGAGGAAACCAGAGTACCTGTGCATGCACAGGGAGAACATGTAAACTCCACACATAAAAGACCGTGATGCAAACCTGTGACCTTCTTGCTGTGAGGCCCCAGTATTACAAGATTTTAACTACTGTACTATTGTGCAAGCTTACTGAATGGATGTGCACTCAGAGCTTTTTTAATCCTCTCTCTTTTACATGCATACACATGATACATCTTCAGTTTCTGCAAAGGTAAAGAACACAATGTAATGCTCCACGCTGTCCTTTCAGAAAGACACCCTGTTCTCATAAGTGGCACAAAACTGCACCGTCAGAGAAAGTCAAATGCAGATATACGAGAACAGGAGAAGGAAGAGAAAGGCAAAACCTGACAGAAAGTGAGGAGAAAAGTGGAGAACAAATGTATGAGCGACTGAATATTGTGACTCAGTACAAAAAAGCATCAAAATCAAAAACAAGGAAACAGAAGAATAAAGACATACATGGATCTAAAGCAGAGGTGCCCAGACTTTTACAGCATGTGAGCTACTTTTAAAATGACCAAGTCAAAGTGCTCTATAAGACCCTGTTTACATGAGAACAACCTCTGGAAACGTTAGCATTTTTTCAATGTTTATTGGGGATAATAAACAAAAAAAATTCATTCATTCAACCTTTATTTATACAGGTTAATCCCATTGAGCCTCAGGGACTCATTTACAAGAGAGACCTGATTTTTACAAAGAGTGATGACAACAGTGGACAACAAAGACAATCATAAAGGACGCGTACAAATTGATTTTTTTTTAACAAGTGAAAATCAAATGCTATTTAAAAGGAAAAGTAACAACAACAACAAAAACAGCTAGGTTGTAAGGCGGTGTAGAAAACTAAAAACAAGAACATGTGTGCATTGATTTTTCCCAGGAACTTAACATGTTTAAAGCCACTTAGAAAGGTCAAGGTTGAGAGCTTCAGATGAAAAAATGAGTGGGTTCATGTGAAAAACGCTGTAGTTTCCAAGTCAGTCGGGTTGCCAGATAAGAAATTATGAACTATAGTACTGTCACTTGAAAAGTATTTTGACCTAAACTGTCATATGTGCTGGGTAAAGATATTCTAAGATGAAGTGTGTGTTGTGTTTGTTGAACATATGCACAGAAAAGGAGGGGGTAAACAAAACATTTTAAATGTATCTGGCAACCCTGATGCAGGGTTCAGCTGCAACAATTGTGCAAGCAGCATCTGCATGACAGTTAGTCCAAACTAGTGAATACACTAATGTCTCTTTGTAACTGGATTTTATTAGTTTTGCTCTTACCTGTTGGAAAAATGGCGAGTAGTACAAAAACACTCTTTGCCATTTATTATAACAGTTGTTAGTGCAGAAAAACTTTGGACTGTAATAGTGTGCATGTGCGACTTCACACTTGCGGCGAATTTCACAATTCCGTGGGAGGTTCCCCTGAAAATTTCCTCTCTGAGACCTGGCTTCAGAATCCTTCACTTTCATTGAGAATGTGTCATGTTTCTACCCATCTTGTCATGTTTCCATATGTCCCACCACATTCACTGAGGTCAGCAG